AGAAAGAGTAATTTAATAAATTTCTAAAGTGTTGTACGCGCACGAAGCTTAAATTTCAAATCCTATTATGAAATTCTCAATTGCAAGATAAACGTATTAAAGTGAATTAAGTTTGCATTAATTAACCAAGTAATATTGTTTAATTTATATACAGTTATTTTTTTTCCCGAGAAAGAACAGCAGAATCTGATTCGACCGATTTATTTCTTCGGAAACATGCAGCAATTAATGAACTATAGAACGCAACACCCATCTGTCTACGTTTAGTGCTGAAGGATTTTCCGTGTCACGAGGCAGAGGCTCTCGATCACCGGCATGTAACTGTAAAAACCGATGGATATAACAGCGATAATAGTGTTCAAACAATGCGTCGTTCGCGCGCGTCAGGCGCACTTCGAATTGAAACCGTTTTCCGTGCTTTTGTTGACGCGACCGGCAGCGCATTGGCGACGATGGCGATCCGACGATGAAACATTTTCGCTCGGCCGGAAATTCGCAAAAACAAGAACCATCAAAACGTGATGAACTTCAAAGTGCCGACCGACACACAGACAATCTTCACAGCAGTCTCGCAATATCTCGTTGGACATTTGAAAAAGTAACATCACGCCGGATACTTATCGTTGTTTGATTATTTTCTTTTACAAAACATTGTCAAGATACGAATCAAGTAAAACTCGACAGGATTGGTTTGAGATTCTATTTTCACGAAGGAAATGTCACACGTACAACATCACGAGGAGAAGCCGTGAAAAAAACTGTGTCACGTTCGGTAAAACAACGCGGGATCGCGAGACGTGTATTTAAACTACTAAAGTAAAGTCACGTGACTTTAGTCGCGTGTTGTTTTTCCTCTCCTCCCTGTCACGTGACTTTAGTCATGTGTGTTATTTTCTTCTCTTCCCTCTCTTTATTTTTTGAGTGTAATTTTCATGTGTTATTTCTGACATCTCTCATATGTGTACATGTATACGCGATGTCAAGAAGTTTTATCGCCGGTGAATTTTCATTGAATTTCAAACCGTGTCGCGCGGGCCGAAAGCGAATTCAAATAGCTGCATGTTATCGCCTCGAATCGATACTGGCGACAGTTCGATGCCGCGCATACCCCTCTTCTCGTTGATAGAAGGAGGGGTAGAGAGCATAAATCTATCCTGCCGTTTGTCGTTTCGGCGTTCTTGTAAATCGCGTCTTTACAAACTAATTCCGCGCGACGTAACGGACTGCGTCGCAACGAATTATATACGAAGAGATCGTGACGTTTTATTTCCGCGCGCGCGCGCGCGAAGTCGCGACGAGACATCGAGATCCGATTCGCGGCGCGTACAGTATTACACGATCATGTCGCGGTAACGCCCGCGATAGCCCGGACTTCGCTCGCGATGACTAATGACGTTAGGAAATTGAACCGGACGCGCCCCCAACGCGGCTGCCGCCTCGAAAGAGAACGCGCTCGGGAATAGCCGCGGGAGAGAATATCGGCTCGCCGAACTCAGGGGCGCCCGATTCAATTTTCCGGCATCATTTATTTACGCGCGGTTAACGCGCTTCCAACGGCGGCGGCCAGGCGCGGCATAATCGAACAAATGAATAACAAAATACGCGCGCGATTAATCGCAAGAAACATTTTCCACCTCGCTTGCGCACACGTTACGCGATCGCCGTAGTCGTTATAATCACTGTTATCCGATCGAAATCCATTTTTCCGCGTTTTCTTGTGTGCACATTCCGAATACGGAAACTTTCTCGCGTGTAGCGCGCGAATTACCGTAAAGAGAAAAATTCTGGGTTATTCTCTTTTTCTGACATTGTACACACGCGTTTTCTAAATACAGAGATTTATTTGCGGAAAATGAGTTTACGTTTTTTTTTTTTTTTTTTTTAAGAAGAGTTCAACAAACTTGTATACACACATATACACGTTGTATAGATAAAGGCCTTACCACGTTCGGTGACGGTGATGAATATGCTAGTTTTGCACGCAAACACTTTGCTGATATTGTATTGCTGGTGTGCTAGGAGGTGAAGACGCATTAGCGCCAGCACCTGATACCCAATTGCTCGAACGCTAACACGAAACGGTTACATACTGATTAACACAAATACAATCTCATGCATATGTGATTAATTAATGTGCTCGGACTACGCGTCCATTTTTTACACTTTATACTAAAATATAAACGCACGTAAATGTAAAAACGTAGAAACAATTTTTGATTAACACAAATCTATACGTATTAAATTAAATCTAATTATTTAACATACACACACACACACAAGTGTAATAGAAAAATATTCATATTGGTTTGAATCTATTAGAGCGTGATTCAAATACAGGTTTTCAGAAAATTTCTGCTTTTCGCTATGTCGAAAAAAAAGTATCTATTCGGAATTAGCGTATTATTACAACGAGAAGTTATAACTCGGAGCGGAGCCTCGTCATGGAAGCAAAGGTCGTACATGCAGGCATATTGGCCCGCGCGAATGTACGGAAGCGCATTTCCGGTGGCGCATCAGACTTTGAGAAAATTGAAAATTTTGCCTAGCGAAACGCTTTTCCGTGTGCACCAGCTGGTCGCCCGGTAAGAGCTTTCACTGCGAAATGTCTTCTGCTCGTTAACGGGTTAACGAGAAGAAACGCGCGCGCGCGAAAAAGAGACAAGATTCGAACGGGAGCGGAAGAGAGAACGGTAGTCCGATGTTTTCTAAAGCTTCCGGAGTGAATTGCCAGCCGGCAAGCTCGGTATGAAATAGTGGCGAACTGTTAATCCGAACTGTGTAATAATTACACACTCTCTCGAAAAGCTCGCACCGCATCTTCGGATCTCGCGCGCGACCATACACCGTTCTTCTTCGTGTTCGTCTCTGCGTATATCTCTATCAAAGACGAGAGGTTTCAGATTTTCGCCGCGTGCGGTTTTTAATATACGTTCTCGTGTATTTGGGAGCCCGAAATTTTTTTGCAATTAGCGGATATATCTTCTTTGCATGCGCGCGCGTTTGAAGTCGCCGCGCGCGCTAACTTACGCCGGACTGAACTTACGAAAATCCGAGCGAGCGCTTTTTTCCGCGATGCCTTCCGGGTTTGAAGCCAATTCTGCCAAATGGGCTTTTTGCCCGCCGCCAATCGGGTTAATTGTAACAGACTGAATGTGTGTGGCGGCGGCGCGATATTTTCTGGCGCGGAGAAACTATCGCCTTTTATTTTGGTATACGAAAAAAAAAGAAAAAGCGTAGGTCAGGTTAGGTTTTTACACAAAAAGTCTTTATATCGGAATCGCATTTAATGTACGACGCAATTCCAAGTATACGATCGAGCCATTCTTTTCTTGTCGAGTAATAAAATTATTCCCCACAAGCACAAGCGAGAGCCATTCGACGGCGACTATATCGACGTGTCAGCGTCGCCGATCGTTGCCGACGTTGCGGTTTCGCGGGAAAAAAAAAGAAGAGAAAAGCGAGATGTGAAAGATCGCGAGATCGGCGATGTTTTAAGATTTTCATAAAACCAACGTTCTCTCGCACGCGTTCTTTTGGCAATTTCATTTGCATAGCAGAGACCAATCCCGCGATGAAGCGCTCGATTGAAATGAAAATGCGGCGTTTTCGCGACGCGTTCGCACATGAAGCATTATGGAATATCGCTTTTTCTCACGTAGTACAAAGCTCAAGCGCGAACGTTTTTTTTTTTTTTGTTTTTTTTTTTATACGCGTGAGCGCGAGTAGAACCCCGGCGAAAGTGCCGACGAAAGCAACAACTCTCGCGCGCGGCGCGCAGAACAGGAGGAGGGGAGATATCGATTGTGTCGACAGCTTGCACTTCCGAGGCAGATGCAATTCTTTTTATTCGCGTTCACACGTCGCTGTGGATAAACCCGATATGCGTCAGATAACAGATATGCGCGGATGTCTCCAATATCTGTCGCTAAAATTCACGGCGCCGTTCCTTTTATTTGACTGCTCAAATAAACGCGTGTTTAGAATCAATTCTTATCCTCTCCCCCCAGCGTGTTTCTCCATTGTGTTTCTTTATGTTTTAAGCCGTTTTCAGTCTGACAAAATCAATTAAAATAATTTAGGACTGTTAAATTCAAAGAAATCACGAAAAAACAAGATAGATTATATCGCGCACTTCTAATTGTGCACAGAAGCAGCAATTCGATCAATGACGATGCAGTGCGCGGACAATGTCAAACAGTATATTAACAACGGAACTAATAAATAGACGTTATTGTTTCGTAGCGTCAAACGTGATTAACACACGTCTGGCGATTTTGCAGTTCTACGCGATATTACAATTAGGGAATATCCTTGTATTGTGTGCGTCGCTTTTCCCGAAAATGCATTTGTGCCTCGCCGCATTAAATGCAATTCGACGATATTTTAATTATTGTACGTTGTAATTAAATTAATAATTAAATCGGTACGCGCGTGCCGGACGAAAGCCGAGCGTGCACGATCCGCACGCGAAAACCAACTCTCACCGAACATTAAAACCGTATTTACATCGGATAGGTAACAGCCCGTGGCAATTAATTACGCGTGGCAATGATGCGTACTCCAATTTCATTAAACATATCGCGTTTAATCCGCGTATTTTTGTCCGCGATTCGCACTATAATTTCCATCTTGCCGCGGTTTATTTCGTTTTATCATGTGCACATTACACGGTAGTTGGGTGCGGGATAAAAATTTTCACCGCAGCTTCGAGACCGGCAAAACGCGTGTTTTGCGCTACTTCGCATTTGCGAACGCATTCTGCTGACGCGCGTGGTAATACTTTCGAAATTTTTGCGCTAAATCGCCAAACAAGTTTTCCAAATCACATCACATGCTTGCAAATAATCTTGAAAAATACAAATATTACCGTTAATTCGTAGTAGTTACAAAAGTGTGACGTAAAATTTTGTTTATAATCATTATAAAAATGTCATATAACCTTTGTTTTTTTCTAATAATTTATTTGTTTCTAATAAAATCGTACTTGTTTGTTCGATTAGGTACGGCGACAATGGCCTGGCCGCGGCAGGAGCAGCCTTGTCCAATACCAGGAGTCTTTTGCATGAACGGTGGTACCTGCCTATTTTTCGAGACCGTCGGTGAACCGGCATGCAGGTGAGTTGTCGCGTTTCCCATGTAACTTATTTTATCACATATTTATTTTTTCACGCGCTCCCGGAAACATTTATTTTCATTTGGCAAAATTATCGCTAAAGAAATATCTTTGTTTGTTCGAAAATAGTTTGTTGTTAAAATAATATGTAATAATATGTTATTACAATAATAATACGCACGAATGTGTGCGTGTCTCTCTGACTAAAAGCATTTTTCATTGCCGCGTACGTCTTTTATAAAAATATAAAATGAAAATGAAAACAATGTAACGGTAAAAATCTGTTACATAAAAACACATATTGATTCTTTTTATTCAAAATAAATATGAGATGTGTCATTGTTTTAAACCATGAAAAGTGTCAATCGTGAAATGGTATTTGTTTGAAAACAATGCAGAACGAATTAAAACTGTGTTTTAAACAAAAACGAGAATTCTGGAAAAGGTGCGGAGTGCGATCTTTTATACACCACACGGATATGCGGAATGGCGGTATAAATGGCAAGATAAATCCTTTTATAGCATTAACATCGGAGCAATTTATTAAATCCTGCAAAACTATGTATACGGAAAATCCATAAATTCGTGCGTGACGTGTTTACATATTTCGGATATGTGCCAAGCGTTTTTTTATGAGTTTATGTATTACAAATTTGTTTCACTGGGTTTACTCGTTTTGCATGATTACCTCTCAATTGAACGTTCACAGAGCCGAACAGCCAATAACAGTATCGCGCGGCTTATTTCCCCACTCGGTATTATTTGTATTTATTTGCGCCGCGAATCGTAACTGCTAATCTGAAACTACGTGCGCTTTATACACTTCTTATACGCAATTGCGCTTCATTATCTGTCCTTCTCTCTCTTCCGCGAACGAATTCGGTTCGATTTTGTCGAGAAATCGGAAAACCATAGATTCTCGTAATTATCGAAAAGTCGGAAATATCGCGCGGCATCATTGTGTAATGCTGTCAAAAAATTTACTTCTTACTCTCTCTCTTTCTCTCAGATTTATCTTGTAAAAAAGAAAGACAAAAAGTGGAAACCATAAGCAAACGTTTTGTCCACGTTTCTGTTTGCAAAAGTGCACGGGAGATCGAGCTCGCGTTTCTTTGTTACTTATCTTTGTGCGGCCAACACGGCGAGTTAACGCCAACCGTGAGGGTTAGAGAGAGGCATTTCGCGTAATGCTTGCGCTGTCGATTGCTCGAGAGGTCGAAGTTAGCCAATGGTCGACAGAAAGCGCGGAAGCTCTAGTCGAGCCTCTTCTATCTTTTCTTGATACACACGGGAGAGCGATCTCTTCTCGTTTCTACCGAATACTTCTTTCTATTTCCACCTTTGGCTTTTCATGTGTATCCTCTCTCCTCTTTTTTCTCTTACTACGCAATATCTATTCCTCTCAGGAATAGACACCTTCTATAGATTTCTCTTCCCGTTCTTGCCTCCGTTCTTCTCTCAAGTATCCTTCTCCCACAGCTGCGCCGTCGTCTCTTTGCCTCTTTTTTTTTTTTCCACTCGCCGTCGATAGAATTTTCTCGCCATTTTCCTAAATTCTCTCGTGATTCACCGATTCCCCGTTGTTTCTATTTATCTTCCTTTTAATTCGCGCCTTTATTGCTTCCAGATATATATATATATATTTTTTTTTTTTTATTTTTTACTTTTATCTCGTCTGTTCTCCATTTACTTTCTCGCTGCCTCGCGCACTTCCATTGTTGTGAAGTCTATAACTGATACCCTCTTCCTTGTTTTTTTTATTATTAAGAGAAGACGTTTAATACCTTTCGCGGTTATATTTTTCTCGCGAATACACACACTGTTGTTTTCCGTAAACGCGATCTAGCAGCGAGCTCTCGAACACGAGGCGCGCAGTTCACTTCTTCAAGATCGCGCTGGCGATCGGCGGTGTCGGTATTTACGGCCGACCCAGCGTGTGCAAAACGACCGGACCGAATTTTGCGAAACGATTCGGACCTTACTTCCGGATCGCTCTTTTTTTCTCTCGTTTACGAGAGAGAGAGCGGCGCTTCCGAAAATTAAATTTCTTGACGATTCCCCTCATCCCGCGACCCCGTCGCGTGTATCAAATTGATCGGCACCGCCGCGTAGCCGCGCGTATCCATTTAATTAAAAAAGTTCGCTCGCGAAATGTTCCCACCCTTCCGACCGGACTTTCCAGCCGGTCACAATACGCGCTCGCGCTCGTTCGCGCAACGCACATACACGGATGTCGATTTGTCAGAAATTTCAACTGCGCGACGTCGATGATGCATTCGGCAGACTCGTTGGGTTTTTTTCACGGTACTAATGGCGGCGAAACCGGGTCAACTAAGAGCAACAAGAGTCCGCGTGTTTTTTTTTTTTTTTTTTTTTTGTAAGCTGCGTTCGGAAAATTCCATAACTAATACCGCCGTTTCGAGTGCGCAAACGTGAAATGAAAATGCAAGATATAAATCTTCGTAACAAAACCTTAAATTGAAATCCTCTGAGAGTAAAATCCACTTTAAAACATTTCTGCATTTGTTGTTTAAGAAAAAAATAAGACCGAAAGAATCTAGTTTATGCGAGAAACATTTTCGATTGCTCGCGTAAAGAAAATCGTCCAGGATTTTCATCCAATTTTTTTCTCTCTGAATATCTTATTTTCTTTTCTCCGTATATATTTTATATATATATATCCAGTAGTAAAAACTCGAAGAGACACTACCAAGTTTTGCATCAGCGGGAAAGCGAAGAAGTGTATGACGCGTAGTTTCATCATGACGTGCCTAAACGTCAAGTGTCGGCTCCGCGAAGCCGGCAGCATCCAGTTTATCGTGGCTGTGTTTTATCGCGCAACACCGTCAATCCCCTCTGCTACTTCCGGCGAGTCGCATAGAGTGTGTGTGAGAGAGAGAGAGAGAGACAGAAGAAAGAAGAGAGAAAAAGAGAAGAGAAAGAGAGACAAGCAAATGTAAACTTTTTCGCGCCGGCGACGCTCGTAAATCTTGCCCCCCCGAAGGCACTTGCATCCCTCTTGTCCCACCACTACCACCTGTGCCGAGAACAGCCGGTTTCTCGTTTGTTTCTGTTAGCCGACCCTCTCGACTTGTTAACTTTACGTTCTTACCACTTACGGCCAAATTGCCGTATAAAATATGTGCCGCGACGACGAGGCAACCCCTCTACATACCGCGGCTTTGTGAGAGACGTGACAGTCATCCCTTGTTGTTGTACTCGCTTTTTCTTGGTTTTTGCGGGTAATTAAGGACCGCGCTGATTGCAGCAGAATCAACGTCCGAGAGATTTATTAGAGAGAGATGTGCTTCAAAAACGATGCAAAGAGTTATTTCTTTCGAATGGCGCGGATTTGGGGGGAGGAGGAGAGGGTAATTGAATAACAAATAGAGAGATAATCAAAACAGCGATGAACAACAAGAGTGATATTTACATTTGAAGATAATTTATGTACGTCGTGCGAGAATTTTTCAAAAAAAAAACTAAGAAACAAGAAGAAGCAGATTAAGTCAATTCGCGTATAATTCCAAATATTCAACGAATTTGCGCGTACATGTGCACGCGCTGTTCGAACCGCTGCTATTCGAATTGCATCACGTCACCCGTCATGACTGTAGTTGTCAAGGTAGCTTTAACGAATCGCTCCCAATGGTAATTCGGTCAAACGTATCGGACGAGCGGGCGAAACAATAAAACCAGCGGTGTGTGCATATTCGGAGGGATGCGGAACTTTAAACGCGTGCACAAAAGCAATTAAAATTCTCGATTGTTCCAAATATACATTATTTGGTGATGTAGTTTTGTCCTCATTTTATGTGTGTATGTGTGTGTGTATGTGTGTGACAATTATAATTCAAAAAACAAATTCTTATTTTATCTTCGGTGCGTCACGACAACATTTTCTCTCTTGTCTTACAAAAAGCTATCTAACCCTGGCCCATATACGGGACAATGTATACACCACGTTCGCACAAAAGATCGCGCGCAAAATGGCCAGTGCAGCAGCTGCAGAGCGATGCAGTTGCGAGCACAGTCGTTTCACTCTCTCTCTCTCTCTCTCTTTCTCTGGAGCTCGGCGACACGACGGAAGCGGCGGAGGAGCGTGTTCTTTTTTGAGACGCTCATTATTTTAACAGGAAAGCGCGAAGCTTTTATGCGAAAATGCCCGCCAGCCTGGGGCTCGCGCGACACTTCGTGATGAAACTTCGCGCGGCTTTCTTCCTCCCCGCGAACAAGCGTACAAAGAAGCGCGCGGACTCGGCGACATTGTGCGTCGCGGTGCATTAAGGCGACGTTGTGTACAACTGTATAATAATACACGTGTCCGTCGATCTTCTCTACTCTCACTAGTTTCTCGTCCTCGTTGTTCATTTTCACGACGAGACAATATAAAGTCATGACAGGCCGACCGTGAAACAAACAAGCACTTTAACGAGATTTGTGAGCGTTAAATTAAAATTTTTTGTTCTCGAATCTTCTTTCCAAAATCCATACAGGATTTGCAGTTTTTTGTTTGCGCTGTGACTGACGTGCGTCTTAACGTTTGCGCGTTTCAAACTTTTCCGAATTCGCGGGCGCACATTTTTCACACGCACGTCACGTCTAACGAAAAATAAAAAGTGTAATAGCGAAAATATATGTAATAAGCGTTACATGAACGGTTGCGGATCCCGTGACAATATGCGATATGATTTATTCACAGTTTACCTCGAAGAAGAACTACGAAGATATGAATATATCGGGAATATACAAAATCCGGATACGATACACGAGGCTTGCGAGAGCGGAATAGTTATTTTTCGTAGATTTGACGCGGCGAGCGGTGGGGAATTCCGCGGAGAATTCTCTCTCCCGGATCCGGAGGATTTATGATATTATTTCTACGGCGGTGATAGCGACGATGTAGCGATAACATACGGCGTATGTGAAATATTTCCCGCGAAGTACAATGTAGTGCGGAACGACGATGGTTCGTAATGTATGTCCCGTCGTTACTTGCGCT